GGGGGGGGGGGGGGGGGTTAATACAATTTTAAAAAATGTTGACATAATTAAATAGGGAGGGTCACTGAAAGTTTGAAAGTTTTTGACAAGGGGGAGGGAGGGGGTCAAAAATTGCGTAAATATTGTTGACGTAATTAATGGACGACCCTAAAGCTTTGGTCTTTGCTCAGCATTAATATGATAGTCTAAAAGCCATAAGGCCTTCACTCCACTGAGGTGCACTTAGCTTGGTTATAGACTTTCACCGTCAGGATCAAATTATAAAGATTCTTTTACAAATTTTGCAACTTACCTTTCGGGTTCTTTAACTTTAATTATGTATTCTGTATTCCGTTAAATGAATTCCTTGCGCCCCCCCCCCCTTTTATATTATATTAAATATAAATAATTATTTTAAAATGATTATTTTATACTTTTCATATCTGATTTTTTTATAAATAATTTTAAATTTCCCGTTGTAAAAATATTGCAAAATATTGTCCCTGTTAATGCCAAATAAGGCCACCCTCCATTTTTTTTTCACTGGATGCCCTAAACCTTGGCGGAAGCCCATGCTAATATATAAAAATAATATATTTTTTAAAAATTTCTTTTTGCTTATTTTGCTCAATGGTCGATCTAGCCCTATCTGTGTCCAACTGCTAATGATCTACTTCTTTCAATTAATTAAGTGTGGTACTTTATATATATATATATATATATATATATACACATATATTATTATATTACTTAGTTAATTGGAAAAAATATATATCTATATATTTTTTTCCCAATTAACTAAGTAGTACTTTTATGGATGGTTTACAACACAATACGTTATAGAGATTGTGAAAATTCATTGAATGGGCAAGTTTTTGTTCCTGTAATGTCATAAAATGGCAAGCCAGGACAGCATTTTTCCAAATAGGTAATTTCAAAGGGTTTAACACTATGCACAGTTATTAAACACAATTTGAAAACCAACTAACTTACAAGAAATTTACAAAAAGAAGGGAATTACCAAGATACATTCTAGCTTTTTTCTTTTATAACTTCCCTTTAGTTTAAATATTTTTTATTTATTTTAACAGTACCACAAATAAAATATCTGGATATATAATTAATGTTAAAAACATAATTTCGTCAATAAAAACAATGACAGCAAAAACTTTTTTTCAATTATAAATTTAATAACAATCATTGATACAGTACAAGAACACTATAAAATTTCAACTTTTCCTTTGCTAGACAAAAACATTCCTAAAATGTTGCAGAGCCAAAAATAGGATAGCAGAACTTGATAATGTAGTACCAGTGTACTCGTTAAGTCAGTCAATCCACCCAACCACACTCAGAGTTGAGCACATGAACAACACAACAATGTTTTTAGGCTTACCCCCTTCATCTCCCAATTATTGCAGCACTTTATACAAATAAAAGTTTCTTAAGTTGGCCCCAAGTAAAAGGAACCATGTGAAATTAAAAACCTTTCTGTAATTATTTTTATGCAACAAAAAATAAAATTTAAAATTTGAAGTCTTTGTATTTCTTAGCTCCCTTCCCTGTGTCTTGCTGTGCCTTTTTTCTTTTCTGAAAATATAAATAATGTATAAATTAATAAAAATTATTCAAAAGCACCAAAAAGGAGAAAAATTGTATTATTAATTTTAATAGATGTTAAAAGATACAAAAGTGATGATTTAAAAAAATTATTTTCACCTAAACCATTGGTAACTGAAAAGATAGAGCAGTGTGATATACACACAAGACCAAAGGATTCCATGTTTCTACTTACTCTCTGTTTAGCTGCATGTGCAGCTACCATGTCACTGAGATCTTCCTTCTCAAGTTGGGACTGCTGCTCACGTACTGTTTGCTCATACTTGGCCTGCATGGCTGCAGTGTCAAGGTCAAGCTCTTCAGGGTTCAAAGATACTTCAACAGCTTCAGCTGCTACCTTCTCACCAGGTTTTTTCTGAACCTGCAAGAAAGAAAAATATCTATTCAGCTATTTTTAAAACATTGAGTTATTAGTCAAAGGCACAAAGTAAAACAAATTTAGATGCTCTAAACCTGTGAGTTTTCCAGATTCTCAAGAAATAGTTCTAAATATATAATTTAATAAAGAAGTGATAAATAAAATTAAAATAAACTTTGATATTATGAATAAAGCCTTCTACTCAAAAAAATGTACTGTTATGAAAAATATTTAAATGATGTATCTTTACAACTAAAGATGCACAGACAGATATAAGAAAGTAATTTATTTGGTTAACTAAGTGAAATTTTGGGATTAATGTATTTTTGGAACACGGCAGAATTTTAAGCCCTACTTACAGCAGATATATCATACACATGAGCTGATCCCATCATGGCACCTCCCACTGTTGTTTTCTTTTCTGGCAAAACCTGATAGAGTGCAGGTGTGTCTCCTCCCTGGTCCATGGCATCCTCTATCCTCCTTTTCCTCAACTCAATTTGATCTGGTGTTTCCATGCCAAGAGGTACAGATGTAATTCCACCAGGTGTCATTAAACTGAAACAATATGAGCAGGTTTCCAGAAATTAAAATATCTAAATTTAACCTTTCTAACTGTAAAACTTTATTATAAGTATATTTGTTTAATACCCCGTAGCGTTTCGCAAAATGAGAAGAATCTACAGGTTGGTATTATTGTATTAGTATTGTGACAATAAATGAAGTATTAAGTTATTCTCTTACATAATACAAAATATGGTGTTTCTGTTTACATTTCAACCTTTTTTTTTAAAAAGATGACCAAATGGTTACATGCTATACAGTAAAAAAAATGTACCTTTAAAAATAACTTACAAAAGGGTTTGGGTATCTACACTAACAAAAAATTACAATAATTACATTGAAACAGTGGACAAAATTTGCATGTGTAGTTTAAATATGTAGAATTGGTAAACAAACTATAAACTGACCCTTCAGCTGGGGTTATCAATCCAGTTTCATCCTTGTCTTCCTCCTCTTCTTCTTCTGACTCCTCTTCTGATTCTGACTCTGATTCTAGCTCTCCCCATTGTGTCTTGTCTATTTCCTCCTCTTCAACTTCATTCTGTTAAGTGACAAAACATTGGTGATATGATAGAAATAACCAAATTAATTATTCAATAAATATATGAGAGCATCATAATCTGAAATGACTATTCCCATTTAATTTCAAGTTATTGAATTTATTTTTAAAAATATGTTACTTTAATTTTAAAAATTGGGTTAATTAATTCTAAAACAAGTATTGAATGAGGCTTGCTAATTAATATACTTGAATTTAAACTTAAATAAAACCCAGTGTACTGATTTGATTAACATGCTGCTAATTAATTAAACATGGGTTTTCTATCTTTTTTGTGTGGACGTAGCAATTAAACTGTAAGTGTAATCTTTGTCACTTTAAAACTAATTTTACTGATCTGTATCATATTAAAGTAAATTGAGTTAATTATTTTTACAAACACTAATAGTAAAATTTAAGGGGGTATACCTGTATTAACAAGAAATAACTAGTGATTCACTTACTGAGGTTAAAAAAATTAATTTAAAGCTAGTACATACCTTGAACTCTGCACTTTGTGTTCCAAAGACATCACCATACAGAGGTTTTCCATGTTCATCTACTGGAGGTTTTCCCCACCCACCAGCATGATAACCAAACATACAACCCTGAAACATTTACAATAAATCAGTTTAAATAATCATTCAAATATATTGTACAATAGTTAAGACTGCTGTCAAGATTTTGCCCAAGAAAACATTTTTGTGATATAATAAGTATCTTTGAAAATTCTTAATACCGGGACATATATAAGTTTAAAAGAGTCTGGGAAGGTATAATTAAACAAATAGTAAGGGGTGAGAGGAAATAAAATAAAATGTGAATGATGTCAATATGAAGTTATGTCTTTACAGTTTTTTTCAGCACATTCCATTGTGTGTTTTACCATACTGTGGTATTTCAATTTTATGAAACTTAATATGAACTAATCCACATCAAAGGTTATTAAACTGAATTGGAAAACAATAATAATTTCAGATGCCCCCCAAAAACCAATGAAAAGTTTACACAACACATCAGTGTAGATATATTGTATTAATTTTCCTTGGACATGGATTTCTGATTTGTTTGTTGACCTGCTCTCCAAAATTCATCACTCTGTCATCTAGCAATGTTTCCGAAAATGTGTAATCTACTCTACAGTGAATTGTCCCACAAAGTTTTTTAGTGCCGTTTTCTAATTGGCAGTGACAGTTTGATAAAATTTAAATATTTACTGACATCAGGTATTGGAGCATTGAGTCCTGGGATCTTCAGGTTTGGGTAGGATGGAGGAGGTCCATACCTCTGCATGGCAATTAACCAAGGTGGAGGGACTTTTTCTGAATTCTAGAGTTTAAAAATTTCATATGCATTATTAACAGCAAAAGAAGAACACCATTGGTAAAGACAATGAAAATGAATATCTCCAAAACATATAGTTTATGAGAGAGTAAAAGTAAAAATGTTATAACTACCCGAGCCATTCTGAAGTTGTTTCAATTTCATTTTATTAACAAAATCAATTATTTGTGTACATTTTACCTTCTATCTCTTCTAACATTATGAATTAATCCTTAACATGACTGCTTATATAAAGGTATATAAACTATATCATCTTGTAACCAACAAATAAGTTTAGTTAATTTTGTCAAAGATGAATTTCAGTGGGAATAATATTAAGAGAAAAGGGTAGGGACTTGGACATGAACATTATTTAGCATTATAAATGTTCCTTTTTTTGTATTTCAAAACCTTAAGAGTTGACTCAACACAGTAAGTGAGAGACTTACATTTCCAATAGGCATTCCTAGGGCCATTTTTAAATCATCACTGAGATTTCCAGGTTTTTTCTCCCTTAATTTTGTTTCAAATTCTTTAGCCTCATAATACAAGTCCCCATGTATAGTCATCTTTGGCTTGGTTTGAAAGCGGAAGAAAGCATCATGAAGCTTCTGGTAGTCGATATCAATCTTTCCCATTTTGGGTCGGACCTTTTCCCTCATCTTTGACTTCAGTGTCTTTTGATCTTCCTATATCAGAAGAAGAAAAATATTGTTAGTAACAAAATAATATTTACTTAAAGCAGACCAATTATCAGTGCTTTTTAATAAAACGGCTTATTGGCTGTATTACAATTGCTGGATTAGGCAGTTGTCTGTTATCTTAACACAAAATTCTATGATCTGTGAAAAGGGAGATTAATTCAAAAAAATACCTTTTCTTGTAAAGCTGCCCTCATCTCTTCAATGCCAGTAGCCTTGATAAAGTCAGGCAATTCAAAAGGGGTCTTCTCTATACCTCTCTTGCCCTGGAGATACTTGCGCTTATAACACCAATGCCGTGGTACTGGGACAGAATTTCTTGTTGCCTACATTAATAGCAAATTAAGTAAGAATATGTAACAAAACAATAACTTCTATTAATGTTATATTATATTAATAAATTAAACATGCTTTTGATTAATTGGAATAAAGTAATTGTGTTTTTAACAGGACATCATTTGTTTTTCTTTTTAAAGTTTTTTATAATAAAACCTTCAACAAAAAATGTTGGTTCATCTTCAATGAAAAACAGAAACTACCATCAAAACTTTGACATTATTTAAATTCTTATAATTTTACAGTGAAAGTTACATTTCTTACCTTTAGATGTACTAATAACCTTGGATCTCGAGCTGTGACATCATGCATCTCTACAACATCAGGTCTGTTTACAAGCTACAAATACAAAGTTGCCTATTCTCAACTCAAATCAAGGTTTCCAATTTTGTCAGGTTAATAATAACTAATTAAGTTTAGAATAACATTAAATTAAATAAAATGTATTTATGATTTTTAAACTTAACAACAATCATTTTTGATGACAAAGTGCAAATAATTTTTTATACATATTTCCGTAATAAGAAGATTTTATTATTTTCCAAACATTTTTTTTTAAAGTACCTGTTTGAGTTGAGCCACTGTAAGTCTTGTTAATTTTTTTAACTTCTTCTTAGAAATTTTTGGCCCATCTTCTTCTGTTTTCATAGCCTGCAAGAAAAAAGCAACTAATTCTTAACAAAAATTTTTTTTTCCACAAATATAATCAATTTAAATGTTTAGCAATAATAATTTTCCTGTATGAAAGCAAAATGGAAGTGTGTCAAAAATATTTGAAAGGTCTCATAAAAAACGGTATGGTTTTAAATAATTACTGTAAACCGAGACATAAGGAAACGAACACTCAAAATGTTACAAACTTTAAAATTTAGCAAACAAACCTCATCATCGTCGTCATCATCATCATCGTCCATGAATGCTTTGGCTTTAATAGGAACTTCTTTTTTTATTTCCTCGCTTTTATCCTCTGGTTTAATTTCTTTTATTTTTTCTGGTTCTGTGATCTGCAATGAGGATAAATATTAACAATTTTTCGCAAGCAAGCAGGTTTTAAAATTTGAATGAATACAAAACTTTAAATGTTAAGATTTAATTCCTACATCTTTAGTCAGATAGCTTTGTAATGCATAAATAAATGACTTTCTAATTAAAGTGTTCTGAATTGTTACCTTGAATGCTTCGAAAATTCTAGCAAACGTGTGATAGTTTGGATCACTAGGGTCCAGCTCAAGCTGTTCTTGGACATACCTGAAAGACAAAAATTCATCATGTGACTTGTGTAACTTATGATCATTCACATTTTATAATTGTATATCTGACAATATCTGATGACAAATATAGTAGCACTGTTCTTTGCCTTATAAAATTTTTTTTAAAAATCAATAATAAATCTTACTCTATTTGAACTTCAGGGGCCTTGCTTTTCTTCTCTTTTTTCTTTGTTTTCTTTTGTTGCTCAAAGCGATTTTTCCTGGCTTTCTTCTTCTTTTTCTTCCTGCGCTTGTTTTTAGACTAAGCAGAGAAAGCATTAAAATTTTTTTTAGTAAGTTTGTCATTTCTCTTTTATCACTCTGACTGATAAAGTTAATTTTTAAATCTTTAAATTTGTCCTTACCTCCTTTGTCTGTTCATTTGTTTCAATTACTTCATCACCTTCCTCATCCTCCACATCCTCTATTCTTCTGTCCTTGTTTTCACTATCATCTTCATCATAATCTTCGTCATTATCATCCTCATTCTTTTCATTGTTTTCTTTTTCATCTGAAATAATAAAAAATTAAAAAAAAAAAAAAAAAAAAAAAAAAAAAAAAGAAAAAAAAAAAAAAAAAAAAAAAAAAAAATAAAAAAAAAAAAAAAAAAAAAAAAAAAAGAACTGTGCTAAAAACAGTGTAAGTAAAAATTAAGCTTATGACATTTTTTGGTTGTACATACAGGATATCTGAAATAGATTATCTCACCATCTTTGTTGTCCATACTGTCAAGGTCTACTCCAAGTTCAGTAGCTCTCTGAGATTTGAATTCAAGCATTTTCTCAAGTGCTTGAGGTAAACGCATTTCTTTAGGACCTTGGTTATTTGGGGGCTGTACCTAGATGAATGAAAATGAATAAATTTTATAAAGTCTCTAATGTCTAAGCTACTATTTTCTTTTTTTAAATTTTATTTTAGGTGAACAAAATCATTAGATATGGAGAAATTTTAATATTTTTAACCAAAAATTAGGACAGCATACTTAACTAAATATAAATAGCATTGCTATGAAAATACAATAATTTGAAATAAAATGTTAAATTTGTTAATTGCTGGGAATATATAATACCAGGATAGAAGTCATTTTAATAAATATAACTAAAAGAATCATTTTTATAATAAGAGTAAGAGGACATATCTTAAATCGTGTAACTCCCAATTAGCGCCCCCCCCCCCCCTTTTTTTTTTTAAATAAACATAAAAAAAAACATTTTTTTTTATAATAAGAGGAAGAGGACATATCTTAAATCGTGTTACTCCCAATTAGCGCCCCCCCCCCCCCTTTATTTTTTTAAATAAACATTAAAAGAAACATTTTTAACATAAATTTAAATACTCCTACAGTAAGTTCACAGTCTTAGGCTAGTGGATGAATTTAGCCAAACAGAAGGCACATCAATACTATATTAGTGACTTACTGGGGACTTTGAGTCCTTGCTGGCAACTGGAGTGCTTGGGCCGTTGTATGGTCCTCTTGTTACACCAGATCTTGGGCCACCTTCATCATTAGGACTCAGTGGTCCACCATCACCACTTACTGGTGGATTTATGCTATCTGGTCTCATGTTCAGAGACATGAGTCCAGGAGGAGGTCTCTGAGGGGGACCACCTTGGAACATGGATTGTCTGTCTCCAATATCTTGAGGCATCGGTGGAGGAGGGACAGACGGCAACATTTGTTGCTGGTCCCCCATCCCCATCGCTCCTCCCTGTAACATAATACTGTTTGGCCCGCCTTGTGGCATAGGTGGTGGGGGGCCTGACATCAAATGGGGTCCACCTTGAGACATTGGGGGTGGTCCACTCTGCATCATTGGTTGTCCTCCACCTGGGGGCATAAGGGGTGGGCCAGACTGTAACATTGGTGGTGGACCAACTGGGGGCATGGGTGGTGGCCCACCTTGCATCATTTGTGGCCCTCCAACCGGAGGCATGGGTGGTGGTCCCCCCTGCATCATTGTTGGCGGCATTGGTGGCTGACCATGTGGTCCTGTGACGAGATATTTTTAGTTAATGTTAGTGTAATGAAACTGTTGAATGACAACAAAAATTGTTAAAATGATAGCGAATACCATAACAGATCTTTTACTAGATTATTTTCCCTGAACCAAAAATTTACAAGAATTTTTTTTATGCTTTTCTTCATCAACATTATAAAATTAGAAGAGAATGTGGTAATTGAAAGCTTACCTTGGTGAGGAGGAGGGCCTCTTGGTGTCACCATACTAACACCTGAACTTCTAATGGGAGCAGCGGGCGGCATTCCTGCAGGAGCCATAGGATGGCCTGTATTGGAAATGGAGGTAGTTTTAAGTTTTTCTGCTTAAAATACACTACTTGGATAGATAATGTATGCTTTACATTTTAAAAATTCAGGAAATTATTTTTTGTCTTTTAATATAGATGTATAATTTACTGCAAATGAAAAAACGTGATCAATTATTCAATAACACCACAAATAGAAATAAATACTATGCGAACAACTTCAGTTGTTGACAAATAAAACTCATTTATATAAGCCATATATAAATTAATTATAATACATTAATATCATTGGTAAACTTATGTGTCACAAATTCATGATAAGTGATATCTTTAAAATTAAATGGCATATTTAATAACAGACATATGTACCTTGACTTGCAGCAAGCATTCTTTGTTGCTCCCCCATTTGATGAGCCTCCATTAACGCTATCTGCTGCTGTTCCATCAACTAGAACACAAACATAGAGATATTAAATAATCAAAGGAATTAAGACAACAAATACAGATATTTCACCTTTTTAAAAAATGTTTCAACTAAATACTTAGTCACCTTCTGTTGGGCCTCTCTTTGTTTTTCCATGTCTAACATTTGCTGCTGATGACGAACTTTCATCATAAGATCTTCATCTTGAGGGATGGGCCCACCTGGGCCAACATTCCCTTGCTGCATGTGCTGCTGGCGTTCCTGTTGTTCTAACATCTGACGCTGCATGGCTACCTTCCACTCAAAGTTCTCTTCTCTCTGCAAAGAAAATTAATTGTTACCTTTATATCTAAATTGACAAGAGATACTTATTAATTTTTGTAATTAAAACCCCTATTGAAATCCAACACTGCCATAATTTTACAATGATCCCACTAAGGGATAACCTTTTATTTATTGATGGCATTTGTGTAAAAAAAAATTCATCATGGTTGTTGTTAACTAAGACTTATGTAAATTTGTTACAGATTCTTGACAATTGTGCAATTTATTTGAAAAGAATAATCAAACTGACTTATTTACAATGAAGGATTGAAAGTAAAGTAAAAGTTTATTATTGCTTTTTTAACAAAGAAATAATAAAACTAAAAATATTAATATTAGATGTATATTATATACATCATAGATCTCACAAAGTGCAACTATGCAGAACTGGGATGGGGAAATGGAGATGTCTGAAAATGTACAAGGTGTTAATGAAGATGTGAAAATATATTTCTTTTTGTTAACATAATATAAAACATAAGGATGCTACAAAAATGTTAACTTATTTATAGTCTTAAAAATGAAGTCACACCTATATAATAATTAAAATACCAAAGGCTATTTAAAAATTTAACAGTCTTTATTTTAAGTAGAAATTCTATTCTTGTGCAATGGATGTAAAATGTTTAAATTTTAATATTAATAATATAGAATGTGTATAAATAATCAGGAGTTATTTACCTGTGATCCTGAACCATCAGAACCCTGTTTGAATAATATTTTGACAATATTTTTAGAAGTTAATTTAATTTAAACTACCAGAGTAATGCCAGCACATGTTTAAAAACTTAATGTATTTTGTAAGCAACTAACCTAACATTTTCAAAATGAAATGTCTTTTTTTTAAATTTTTTTTTTTATGTATTGTAAAATAATAACTGTGATTTTTAGAGGCCATTAACTCTTTACATTTCCAGTATTTGAAGTTTTCTTTATTTTTTCCTTGAGATATCTAGTATCCCTACAAAAGAGTCCATTACTTTCAGAATCCATGTCTAAGGTTCATGATCCTTTATATAAATTTGTAGGGAAATGCTTGAGGCTTCCATAAATTTGTTTCTTAACATATAATTTTAGCACTTAGTTGTGAGAAAAATAATGCATTTTTTTAAACATAAATGTGTAATAAATTTTTTTGGTGATCAGATTCAAAAAAGAAAAATAATTAACATGGAATTTTTTCATAAAATCTGTTTATTCAGACAGAATATTTATTTTTGTGTGTCATATGAAGAGATCAGAACATTTTATAAAAATTTGAACAAAATATAAAAGGTTTTGCAAAATGTGTTTAAAAAATTACCCACCTCTACAAAAGTATTCATATAAATTTCACGGTTCTTATTTTTACCTATTTAAAATTATTTACACAGAACAAAACATATAAGTACACAATTAAAAACTGTAAGGTACTCAATTAAACAGCTGCTTGTTTCTTTTTCAAACAAAGGTATGTGTCACATGCTACAATGGATTTGTTTCTTTTTCATTCCTAGTTTATAGCACATTTTATACTATTTCTTTTTAAATCTGTACATTCATTAACTATTGGATTTATTTAATTGTAATTTATGTTATTTACATTTGAGACACTTGGAACATTATCAGTTTTAGTAATCCACCTAATGCTCAAATAAGTTCCTCTGTGAAATCCATTTGGAGTTAGCAATAGGGTAGCTTTGGTTCATCTATGTAAGTATTTTATTTTCTCTAAATCTGAAGAGATTATGCCTACCAATACCAACAAAATGGAAAAAGGGGTTATCCCGTACCAATTTTTTTTTTCCATAGGGTGATATATCCATTTATCAACTGGTCAGCACCACACATGAATGTGAATCATATGATTTAACAATATTTGTTTGTCTATACCATCAGTTCTTGTTCTACAGTTCACAGAAGAATTTCCATTTGCTATAAATAAATAGAAATTAGACTGTTTATTATATCTCCAATGAACAGTTAAAAGTTCATTATCTCTTATCCATTACATATCACCTCACTTTTTTTGTTTTCATTTTCTTCTGATAAAGTCGGACAGCAAATTACATTGCACAATTTGCCCTTATTGTCTGGTTCAATTTCATAATTTGAATAAATCTGTTTTCGGACATAAAGGCATTTTCCCAAAATCCATGGTTCAGTGTTTAAGTTGACAAGCATTTTTGTACACCATGGACCTGTACCTTTTCAAGGTACATTAGAGGTCCAAGAAATGTTTAAAACTCATCCGTGGAAGGTCCCTTGTGTCAACCAAATTCAATTTGAAAAACATCTTGAAAAGGGCTTTAGGATCAAGAAATTGCCTCACTGCATCCCTTGTTGACATTTCTTTGCTCAGATGTAAGCTAGGCTTTCTGGGCGACATTTATGAGTTCGAACTTGTTGGTCATCATCTTGTAGATCAGATGAGTTAACCTGTGAATATAACCCAAAAAAAAATAAAAAATGTATGCTAATTTAAGGATGAAATTAATAAAAGGTATACGGGTACAGGGTTATCTTATACTTTCTAAATCTTTACTTGCATTTCCAGTTTTCATAGCTTTCAAATTTGTGTAGATGCCATTATGACTTTAAAATATACTATCACTGATATATTTTTATAAACTAAACACACAGGGTCAAATTTCGTTTTCTTTAGGATGAAATATATCATCTTAAGTATTAACAATTTTATCTAATGTAATAAAATATTCACACATTATAAAAATCATTTATATAAGAAATTTCATGGCTAATGAATAGTTTTATATGCTTAAAAACTAAAATTAAAAGTTATCATAAAACTCAGAAAAACAGAATGATGCAACACTTGAAACCTAACCTTCTGGAATTCACTACTTCAATGGGCTGCAATAGATGATTATCATCAAAATAGGCATCAGAATCCCTTGATTATGCTTCTCAATTATCTTCCTCAGAAGATTCAGATATCTTTTCACCAGTAATATTCTTTTCATATTGATTGCACTGTGACATCGATATGTGTCTAACAAAAATGTGCCTAAGATGGCAACTCTCGCTTCAACATGTGACGTTTCTCAAACTCGCAAAAGAGATTAATATTATCCAAATATGTCAATTTTTAATTTTACATTTTTTTTTATTTTTCTTTCAATTGTATGATTAAATAAATATAGAATACTTTAAAAAATAAAATAGAAAAAATTTTAATATCAAAATAACCTGAATATATAAAGGTATGCTCTTTAAATAAGAGAAATTAAAATATTTAACTACTCACCAATGGGTTCTGGCTTCCTTGACCATGTCTGAAGTCATCTTATAAAAATATTTAAGTTATAATATATATAAAACATAAATAAATCACTTAATCAATATTTATTAATATATCCTAAATGATATTAAAACCAATAATTATACAGGGCAAACTTTAAAGAAAAAAGAAACTGCCTTACCATCTTGGTCCTCAGAAGGCTGTGAAAATAAATTATAATATGATATAGTTGCATTTACTTTAGAATTTACACTAATTTAAAGAAATTAAAAGACACACAGGACATTTTAATCAAATTTAGAATTTGATATTATTCAATATCTTAGTCTTAGGAGAATATTCTTTACAGTTAATTAAAAAAAAACACTGATTCATAAAATTGTCTGTTGCATTTACACCTATGAAGCAAGAATACTTACATCCATGTTTCTTCAACTTTCTTTCAAAGATCCAGAAAATGTAATCTGATGATATTAGATTAAAAGTGGTAAATATTGTTTCTTTCTAGCAGAACTTTCTTCTAAATAAGTTTCTGCACTTTGGACACTTTATGACATAAAAAGATTAATTTAGCTATAGCAGTTTTTACAAAAATTATTTAGTTTAAGAGGTGTGCATGAGTGTGATTTTTAAAATTATGAAAATACCATAAACACATACATACAATAATACAGATGGGTTAATCACTAATACGAATCAGATGGCCCATATTCAAATGAGAAAACCACATTAATAGCGTAGATGTGTCAACAATTCAAACATTTTTTTTTTATTTCCCAGGCAATTATTTTTCAAAACACTTTCCTGAACATCCACCTGACTAACTAACTTACTTAAGAAAATCAGCGAACACCGAGCCGAAGCTCATATGGTCCCCCCCAACGCACCACCCCGCCAACCAAACCGGCCTTCAACCACTCCCCCAGTGGTCTTTATTCCGATCGGGCCGCGAAGCGGCACACCAGGGACGTTCCATCCACCTGACTAAAACAAATAGTTGAATTCTGAATAGAGAATGACTCAGGGACATGACATAGATAATAATATATAGTGTGCTTAAAAACATGTTTTTTTGGCTAGACCATAAAGCTGAAACTTCTCAGTGAAAGGAAAGGTTAAAAGCAGTATTATCCACATTCATTTCCCCCAACACTACTTCTTTCACATAGGCTAGTCGGCCTCAAGATTTTGTACAGAGTAGCCTATATTGATGTGAAAGAAGCACTGTACAGGCTGACAATAAGTTACAGAATTGCTTAATTTAATGCACTGCTGTTAAAAGAAGAAATAGGAAAATGAAATAATAATTTTGAATCTTTTTTAATACCCAGTCAAGACTTCAAGACAGGAAAAACTAATTTATCCTTACGGATTTTTAGTTGTATAGAAAACAAAAATAGCCTACAAGAAGACCTAAAACAGGTGTCAAAGTCAAAGTGACAATGATTAATTATGAAAATTAAAACTTTGGCTTTTTCATTATAAATTATGATAATTTGGTAAATTGATATCTTATTGATCACATTTCATGGTTAATGCAAAGAAAAGATGCCATGACGTCATTTGCGTGATTATTTAAGTTGCCGTGTTAGAGTCACTTCCCTTTGTTTATTTTTAGAGAATTATTTTTTTAAGTATTAGTATTCATACACCAATGGCATGTTTTGTATTAAAATTTTATCGGTTGGCTAATTATCATATTTTATTTGTGCCGCCATATTTGATAGATTTGGGCTTCATGTCGGGTCTTGTTTTTTTATTCATTTTGTGGATATTATTTTCGGTGGAACCTGAAAGAAAGTGTGTAAAAGTGTATTTCATGAAAATGTAAGTTGGGTTTTCATTATTTCTTTATTTTATAATTATTTTTGGCCTTTTTTTTTTGTTTTTGTTCATTTGCATAGTTTTCTTGCCACAGTGTGTAAATTCTAAGTGTTTTAACTTGCAGCTTT